AGACCTGTAATGGTTCAACAAAAAGCAACCGGAACGATCTTGCTCTCGTGGCAATTGTCGTGAGACATTATTTATGAAATGAAAGCCTCGACTTAATCGCACGACTCTTATCAAGATTGAACTAACATGAGTTGTTTTACTGGTAGGAACCTCCTGGTTACACCAGCCCACAGGGGATTATTGTGTCCGTCCGTCGTGCATCCAAAAATGGGAGGGGTGGGGCTGAGTCGAGAGGGTGGGGCTGGGTGGGGAGGGGCTGGTCACCCCGTGGTGCCCTCATAAAACTCAACGTTTAACCTACTCACGCTGGCTTGTGCCCGCCCTCACAGTCGGCCATATTTGCGGAATACACCACAGCCGCCGTTGACCCTGCAGGCCATTGACCGCGCAACCCAACGTTCCTACCAGCTCCCTCCGCAGGAATGTGTTACCTGAATGCTTAATTATGTATTTATTTATCTATCAATGCTGCGTGCAAGTGAAATGGAGTGCACGGAAATAAGACGTATCCTACAGACCGTGCAATGCCCTTTATCACCTATGCATAGGAACTCATGGCTGCTTGATGCAGAATGGAACAGCTTGCAGCACAGCGTGAAAGGAGCTGCGACAATGGTGATGACAACAACAGCCACTTGTAATTTGCCGTTATTGTTGATCTGCGCCGTGACTGCATGGTACGTGCAGTGTTCCCGCGTTATTCACGAACTTGCTATCTGCGATTTTGGCGATCTGCAAATCGCATGTGGAACTCTACACGAGTGCATCGAGAGAGAGAGAGAGAAATAAAGTGATGAGATAGTGATGAGAGGGAATGGGATGCGAGAAAGTCATGAGATCAAGCGATGAGATCAAGCGATGAGACGAGGTAAGTTCATTAATAAACTATGATTTAATACTTTAATATTGCTTTGTATTTTATTTTATTAAAATACTTTTTTGTACTATGCAATTTTTCATATATGTAATAGCTTATTTAATGTAAATTCATTACGAAGATAGGTTTTCGTAGGCTAATATTACTATATATATACATGCAATTTTTCATATATGTAATAGCTTATTTAATGTAAATTCATTACGAAGATAGGTTTTCGTAGGCTAATATTACTACCCACTAAATTTGCAAATTCAGTAGCATTTCCAGAACGTATCCCTCGCGAATGACGAGGGAACTCTGTAGTTTGTGATCAGACCGCTCCTTATCCTAGCCGAGTAGAATGCCCCACTATTTTAACAAAAAAATCTGCATATAATTGCCAGGAGTGATATCACAACCCTGTTTAGTGAATATTTGACAGCATTCCTATTCTCTGTGTTTACCCGTGTGTACATAAATGACATATTTTAATACTCTTTGGTTCTTTCGGTAAAGTCACGTAGGTAGAAAATGAATAGATCACGACGTTTCGATCGCAACACAAGCAACCGTCATCAGGTGGGACAAACACAGCCGGAGAACTGCTGACATGTTTCTAATTTTCTACCCACGTGACTTTACCGAAAGAACCAAAGAGTATGGATTTCTGCAGTCACGAAAGCTTAAAATCAAGATTGGCATATTTTAAATACTTTCCGACTACCGTTGAAAGCATTAACACGTGAAGCTCTCTTCATCTGCCTCCCTGTCCATCTGTTGTAACGTGTGGTCAAAATAACGCTCATATGAATTATCCAATATACAGTCGGTGAAATGTGAGCATAAAGCTGTGTCGCTATTAGAGACTTACCCCAAAGCAAACTGGTTTAAGGGGTTACCCAAAGCTTGGTGATAAAAAAACAGCGCTAAAAGGATTTGCTTTTTCGGTCAAGATGATGACATCACACGTCAAGGGCGCACCTCGCCTCCCCGTGACGTCATTGTGCGTGAGATGTCGCAACATCACTGATTAGCACGGCTGGTTACGTGCGGTGCGAAAGAAGTTAAACATACGTACATCACACATCATTTTAATATTGATTTAAAGCTTTCGTGACTGCAGGGATTCATATTCTTGGTTCTTTCGGTAAAGTCACGTAGAAGGAAAATAAGAAAATAACAAAAAGATAAAACAATACAATTCTCAGAATATAAAAAAAAATAAAACTCTCAGAATTGTATTGTTTGATATGTTTATTATTTTATTATTTCCCTTCTACGTGACTTTACCGAAAGAACCAAGAATATCACACATCATGTTTCCTGCGATGTCATCCCATTTTCCGACTCGGAAGGTAAAATGTGTTATATTACAACTGCTAATTACCTGCACTTCCAGGATCACACTTACACACGTTGGAAAGCTTTACGACATATTTTTCCCAGTTTTAAATTGCGCCATGTTTGTATGCGTACATTATTCATGTTTAATTCAGGATTTGTCTGAAGTCTGTGGCTTAGTTAGGACACATCACAGGGAACCCCCCCCCCCCCCCCCCACTTAGCGGGGAGGTCATCGACCGAACATTTCCGAGGAGGCAGATTGTCGTGATTCATTACAAACGGCTCGTCAGTTTCCTTTGCACAGCTACAGCACACGCAGGAGGTCAGGGCGCGCATGTACTGCGGCTTCCTCCTAGAAGCTCTCACCTGCGTGGTAAGTACCACCACTGCAAACAACAGGGGCGGTTTCTTCATTAGGGCGATTGGGCGACGCACCACCAATGTCATTCAACCACAGAGTCACGCTAGTCCATCACTGTGCCTCTGGATATAGTCCAATCAGCGTCATGTCACGTTCTGTGGAGTACCGCCTCTTTTTGGGCGATTTCACTCTGGCTGAGAATCGCCCCGAGTGGCCCCATAGACTTACATTCAAAGATGTTTTTTTTCGACTGGGGGGCGCTGCAATACATTCTCTATGGCTTCTGGGAGGGCTCGCCCTAACGTGCTTACGTCATCATACGTAAGCACGTTTCATCCAACAATATAATTTGTCGCCACCTAGTGGAATCTTTAATAAAAGAAACTTGAGTGTATTGTATTAATAGTGAGTATAGAAACAAACAAGATGTATTGTAAGAGTCACTTTATTTTTCATTAATATTAAAGAAGTGAAGTTGCCTTTACATGCTTACGCTGTTAATTTATCCATTGCATGGGTGGACCTTATCCTTATCAATCATCCAGACATTTGCCCCCCCTGAGAGATTTTGCAGGAGCCGCCACTGGCAAACAATAATAATGCATTGAATTGATATAGCATCTAAGCACCAGGGGAAAGTACGTATACATGTCTGAAACAAAAAGAAAATAAATTAGCAAAACAAAATGACAAGTTGAGCAGATTGAGCACGACAAGTTGCGCACGGCCGTGTCAACATTGTGAACCGAACTGTCGCATGCTTTTCGGATAGTCAACAATTCTTGTGATGGCGGCCAGATGTTAACTACCTCGCATGGTATACAGGAGATCGTGGGTTCAGTCCTGACCCTGACGGCTGTATATTTGGAATTTGCATGTCTCTCTCTCTCCCCGTAGTTGAATGGAATTTTCTCCAGGTCTTCCAGTTTTTCCCTCCACATTTAAAAACAACGTGCGTTTAGAGAATTTGGGCTGCTATACATTTACACGCGATAAGCCACTTCGTTGAGCTATCATTTGCGGCCAGGTCACTTCTGCAAAAAGAGCTATATACAGTAGCTCAGTGCGCCTTACCTGGTGATGTAAAAGTTTAAATAGTTTAGAACAAGGTGCAGATCAGAACAACCTCCTGAATTGTTTGAGGTGGATGCTGTGCCGACTCTCTTTGTGACCACCGTACCGACGTACCCATGTGCTGGCGATACGTTCGGATGGCTTCAATGTAAGCGTTCCGCTGTCACGCACAATTATTTTTGAACGCCGCCTGATAACGCGTATTTTTTTTTAAGCCGATGATCATGCGAACACCGTGGAAATGGTTGTGGGGAAAATCCAACTGCTTCTAAATAAGTTTAATGTGCACGCCTCGCTGGGCTGGACGTCCCTCCGCCCTGTTCTCGTCGCCAGTCGAAGTTTTATCCCCAAAGCCACCGCCCTCCGCCTCTCCCCATTCCTCATGGAGGTGACCGCACAAGTCTGGAGCACCGGTAAGTTCACGAGGACGTCCAACATTCAATGAACACCCGTATTTCTTAAGAAAAGATCTATACTTAAATTCGATTAAACCCTTCATTGGCGAGATGTTAACTACCTTGCCGAGTATGGAAGGAGGTCGAGGGTTCGATCCCAACCCTTACGCTTGCATGTCTCTCTCCCCATGGTTGCGTGGATTGTTCTCCAGATCCTCCGGTTTTTCCCTCCACATTTAAAATCATGTGTTTAGAGTATTTAGCTGCTATAAATTTAAACATGATAAGCCACTCTGTTGCGCTATAATTTTTGCCCAGGTTGCTTCTGAAAAATAGCTATATAGCACAATGGGCCTTACCTGGTAAAATGAAAATAGTTTAGTTTAAATAGTTTTTAGTTTATTTAGGGTGCTGACATGGCTGAGCAGTAGCGTGTTTCCCATTTTGTTTGCAGAGGTTTGAACCCATGGTTAATCAGAGTCGCTTTCGAGTGTTTGACATTGGAGAAATTCTGCACAATGCAAGCTGTTTATTATTATTATTACTATTTATACGATGGGTGTATGAGTCAACATTTATATCAGCTGCTTTACAGCGGAGCTTCAAAAGATGTGGTGACATTAAACGAAAAAGCGATGACCAAGGGTGCCGGCATCACCAGTCCAAAAATTTTCCAGATTTCAAAACGACTCATAAATTACCCAATTGGATAAAGCCCCACAGCGATATCGCTCCCTGTTTTGAAACCACCGCGGGCGATAATAGTCTCTCAAACACTGCACTTTCGGGATAGCCTTGCCTCGCTAGAATAAATTGCCAGAATACCAAATGAACTAATGATTTGATATCCAAACCGACATGGTGTGACCCCACACCAGGAGGTCACACCTCCTGTTGGGGGGTCACCTGGGAGGAAGGGCTGTATTTAATGAGCGCGTGTGTGTGTGTGTGGAGAGAGTGGGCGTACCGCGTGGTCTTGACGTCGCGCAGGGCGGAGGAGATGTACTCGCCCAGGCGCTTTTCCATCAGAGTCATCCGGATCCAGGCTCGACCCTGAGTGAAGTGTGGTCAAACAATTCCCGTGACTCACGTGACCTAGGGAGGCTTCGTCCAGCAGTGGTTTGGATAAAAGAGCTGAAAAAATATATTGTTATTTTTATTATTCGAATATAAGACACACAATAAAATCATGTCGTTTTACATAAAACGAAACTATTTTTTATTTTACCAGATAAGGTCCACTGAGCTATATAGTCACTTTTCAGAAGCGACCTGGCCACAGGTGATAGCTCAACGAAGTGGCTTATCACGTGGAAATTTATAGCAGCCAAATACTCTAAACGTTTCTAAATGTCTCTCGATCAATCCATAGCCAGCCATATTTCTAAATGTGGAGGGAAAAACTGGAGGACTTGGAGACAATTCGGACATAATTTACCATTTGGGCTCATCCTTCCCTGTGTTGAAAGATGGGACAGTAAACTTCCAGGTCGATTTCTGGAGGAGAGTAGTAGTTTTGTCATGAAGGAGTTTATCTAGTGTCCGCCTGAGTTTATGTATTTCTGATATTACTTCATTCGAGTAAGAGGTCATTAGTTTCTTATGTGCCCCTCCTATTCAAGCTGCAGTATAGCGGTGTTTCTACTCCTTGCTTTATAAATCACCTAGTGTAATAAATCTGCCTCTGATGACTGCCTTTAAGGCGTCCCATAAAGTATATTTTTGGTTGAGGAGTTCCGATCCTAGTAGTCTCTAATGTCGTCTGAAATCTGCGTCACTGGCTTTCTGTCTTGCGTTGCATTGAGGGACCATGTTCTGGGAACAACGGAGGGTAATGTGAGGATGGTTAAATAGTTACAATTTTAAGATTTTGGGCTCTGTTATTTGCAGGAGCAGTTTTCTGGTTACCAGAAAGAAGTAAATTCTGGATAGCGATTTGTGGGGTCGGGATATGTGCATGTAGTTCTTTTCAAGGGTGTGTGTTGTACGCCAAGGGTCTATGAGAGAGAGAGAGTCGTGACATCATAGCTAAGGAGGGCTTCTCTTTTGCTGTCCTTTTTCTGTTGAGGTGGAGGGGGAGTTTTGTCTATTTGGGGGTTGCAAGTCAGGTTCCAGTCCCCCTCTATTATGACATCATCATGAGAGTTTGAATGTAGGTGCTTTATGACCATTTTTATGGTGGATGTGTAGTGACTGGGAATGCCACCGTGTGGTGCCGGGCTTGTGAGGCCACGGCGGGATGTCTACTGTTGTGTGTACACCCCGGACACGGGGTGTAGTACCAGCCCTAGTGGTGGCTTGGATGAGCGCTGGTTAAGCACGATGGCCACGCACAGCGTGCAGTGCGGGCTCCCGTTGAGAGAGCGAGAGAGTGTCAGCCAGCTGGGGTTACGTTGGGGGGATGATACTCTGGCTGACCTGGGGACATGTGACCGGAATGATACTGGAGGGGGGATCACCAGTGGAGGGGGCCAATGGGTGGTCACGTGGTCCGGGAAGAACTCTCGAGAGCCTTCGGGGAAGGGCGAGAGAAATCGAGAAGGTGGGCGGGGCGAGAGGCGGAGCCAGCCCCAGCCCGGCCTTATATAGGGGGGCCCTGTGAGGGGCTCGGGGTTCTTACTGTTGGAGAGGCAGGAGATCCACGTCAAGCTTGAAGAAGCCTCCAGCCACGCGGTCCTGGGACCCAGCTTGTGGTCCGGACCGGGATAGTGGAACCGTGTCTAGTTCCAGCCGTAGCGTAGGCTAGTTGGGTGGTCACCACCCGAGAGTATGTTGTGTTAATAGCGTGGAGTATGTTGTGTTAATAGCCTGGAGTATGTTGTGTTAATAGCCTGGAGTATGTTGTGTTAATAGCCTGGAGTATGTTGTGTTAATAGCCTGGAGTATGTTGTGTTAATAGCCTGGAGTATGTTGTGTTAATAGCCTGGAGTATGTTGTGTTAATAGCCTGGAGTATGTTGTGTTAATAGCCTGGAGTATGTTGTGTTAATAGCCTGGAGTATGTTGTGCTAAGAGTTGAATAAAACGTGTTGCTCTCAACACAACGTCTGCGACTCAGTTGGACTCACTACAGACGTGTTCGCTGGAGGTGGGTAATAGACGTCGCAGAATGCCAAAAGGGTGTCTTATATTTTGCCATTGCTCTATTATGTATCTAACTGCCGGGTCTGCTATTTGTTCGGAGGGTGTGAATGGTATTTTTTTATGGATCAATATTACAACACCTTTACTTGGAGATGTTGTAGTTTATCTGAGTCAGTTAAGGTTAAGTTGGTTTCTTTTAGAAAAGCTATTTCAGTTTTTCGTCTGTTTAAGTGTCCCGATGTTCTCCCTCTTGATTGGATGATTGAATCCACATTTAAGGAAGTAAATTATAAATAGGCTGGGGCAGGGATAGGAAGCTTCTCACCCCCGGGCATTGTGGAGGTTGAAAGGGGGTAGTCGGAGGTCAATAGGCTAGGGAAGGAGATGGGGAAGGGAGGGGGAGGGTGCGCCAAACATTGGCGCTGCCAACCAAAACTATTCTTGCTTCCAGCATCGCATGTTGGAACTCCTAATTCTCACCCCTAATAGTTGTGGGTGCTCTTGAGGTATTTATCAGATCGGAATGCTATTCTTATTTCCTTAGTGGGGCGGTGTTCCCTTCTCCACCTTTCCCGTTTTAATTTCTGTTTGATTATGGTCTACTGTCTAGGACCTATTAATTACAAAAAAACCCTATATTATGGATAACTACGAACTATTCAACTAACACAATCCGCAAAGCAACTTTTATAATTCAATGGCACCAATTGTTATATTTGTAACGTTGAGAAAGGTAAGGATGTCCATTACTAACTGCTGAGTAGGAAGAGGAGCAGAACCTGTGTTTTATAAAACAAAAGATAATGACATCCATCACTAATATATTGTTTTAATGTTGTTTTTGTGTCCTAACCATCTCGCCAGTCAAGTGGAATAAAATAAATTATCAACAGAAAGAAATCGAACCAGAGCGTATTTGAGAGCAATATTTAATCACGGCTGTATAGCTGCGCAAGACGGTGATGCATGGTATATTCAACATTGAGGTTTTTCTCGTGCAGTGGATTTAGAATGATGACGACTGATAATTACGATGACAAAAATGATGATGATGACTGCGATGCTCATATCGAGGATGATGATGACCGAGAATGATAACAATTATACCAATGCTTTTGTTGATGACAAAAATGATGAATGATTAAATCATTATGGTAAAAAAGTCTACTCTAGTAAAGGTAAGGACGAGCACTAGAATTGTTGCCTTTTGTAAGGCGTGAAATGGCAGGCAGTTGACAGAGTTAGAGCTCGGAAACGCTATCAGCTCGAGGACTGACAGAACTGGATTAGGTTATTAACGTGTGCAGGTGCCCCTACCGTGTCAACCAAGAGCAATTCCCAGCATTTCATTAGGGAATGAAGATCAAAGAAGATCGTTTAGCTACCACGCAACAGCACAGGCACTCGCAGATTGTGGCATTTATCCTGAACAAAAGCTCACACTGCCTCACGCAGAGAATACCGTCACTTATTCGAAAGATGACAAGAATGGGTTGGCATGGCAACTAATTCTACCAAAGAAATAAAAAATGGGTGGAGTTAGATCCCTATGCGTTGAGCTTGGAAAGGAAAATTAAGTTACGTGAAATAACCTAGATGAGTTGGCTACGTAACAGTTTGTCAAGATGCAAGCTGCATTTAATACTAATAATTTCGTTTTATATGGCGTAAGTCATGCTGATAGCATCCAACAACAAGTTCAAGTTCCTGTATTAGGTATAGCCCTGTGAGCCATTCGGCTCTTGAATCGGGTGCAACCGCAACAAACAAAAAACAAAAACATGAACAAAAATATCTTAAAGTGAATATGTGACTAAGTGCAAACAGAAAATCCAAGAAAAGACAGCAAAATATTGCAGAAAAAAACACCGTGCACCAACGCTGTGTGCAAAAATCTCAGTGGGATGCAAGTCAAACAACAACAACAACAACCATAAGACAAGTTAGATTAAGGCTATCAGTCTAACTCTGTACTACAACAAACAAACATGGCTAAACCAAAACACTTTTCGAAATCACCAAAATAAAGCCATGAAAGCAATGAAAAAGTAATCATAGGAACTGTGACGGGATTTTCACAATAAATGGCATAACAACGCTGTCCATATAAAGAGTCATTCTAAAGCACTGTTGCCATGTATCAGACTGCTCTGCCTTTATGTGATGTGAGCTATGCAACAATTGGCAGGCATGTGCAGAGTAACAACTCACTTTGTATTTGAACACTGTAGACTGGTAAAGATAAACCATGTGGGTTCATGACGAAAGCCTGGCCTAATGTTGCATTTGCACCGTAGTTGAAATGTGTTCTGGCTGCTCTATAAGTAAATTCATGCCTCCAAATATTATGCTGCTGGCTTTGGGCACCGGCCCACAGCACAAACTGCCAATTAGGACGCTATATTCTTGGTTCTTTCGGTAAAGTCACGTAGAAGGGAAATAATAAAATAATAAAAGTATAAAACAATAAAATTCTCACGACGTTTCGACTGCAACACAAGCAATCATCATCAGGTGTGAAATCCACAGCAAGAAAATTGGATTTTTTTTTGAGTTACAGTCTTTACCGAAAGAATCAAGAATATGAATCCCTGCAGTTACGAAAGCTTTAAATCAAAATTAGGACGCTGTTAACAATGCTGTCCAGACGCTATAGATGTCGATGACGAATTCTCAGATTCCAGACTCGCCTCCGAAAATATCGCTCTCACCTAACATTATAATTGTGTAAGTTTTAATACGGTAACATTTTTATTTAATGGCATTTGGAAAATAAAATACAGGACATTGGGCTAATTTGTAAGTAACTTAGACTAATTGTATATATATGTAATCATCGTTTGCAAAATAATTGCTTTTGTGTTTAAGGTTACTTTTTAGAATATTTTTTATGTGACGGTGTGTGCGCGCGAGTGTGTGAGTGCACATTTTCCTCACAATAATAAATAACCGTTCAAGATATTTTCTCCGCTATTTGTACACCGGTGGACCAAGTAATCCTATTGCGCGCAGACTCAACATTTCAAATAAATAAGAAAATATCGAGTCGCAGTGGAGGTGGCAGCGGCGGGAAATCTCCTTTAATGGGCAAAGATGTTTTGTTGTTGTTGAAATTATCATCTATTTCTGTGGGCCTACGCAGATTACCGAAAATTGCCATTGTCCAAGTTGAAGGGCATGCATGCGGTTGGGAGCCACCGTTTCTCCGAATTTTGAGGACGTATTGAGTGTGTGACCACACGGCTCCTGACATCATCCCCCTGCACATCCTTATCGCCACCAAAGGTCACATGCGGGCTTCTTGACATATCTTTCTTTTAATGTCATGAAGCAAAAAACAAATAAATTGGCTCGCGCCGCTATGTTTATCGTAATTGAACAATAATCTTTTGCAATTACGTGCAGTTCACATTCCTGCGAAAATCTATCCGCATAGAATGCTACACCTGCGAGCAAGGCCTCATTAAATAGAGCTAAGCAGGACACACGTGAAAAACGAATCCCTGCATTTTAAAGATAATTTTATCCGCAATCAATGCACCTGCATCTATGCCCATCATCGCACGTCTATATCACAATTTCTCTTAGCTTGACGATGCTATGTCACTCTTCAAGATCATGCACTTCTTTTTTCCTAAACTTTTACCATCATACACGGGCCCGTTTTTCATGGTTACCGTATTGTATTGTCCGGCTTGCCAATGAAAACCAAATACATGTAAGTCTATACCCCATCATCTCGCTCGCAAGGTGTCCAGGGACACTTATCAAGTTAGATTTTTTTTTATTGTTTATTATTTTTACTATTTTATTATTTCCCTTTCTACGTGACTTTACCGAAAGAACCAATAATAATGTCAAGTTTGGTTAACTTTACCTCTTTTAGACCAGGTGAGAACACAAGAGATCAGAATGCAGTCGTCTCATTCATTTGCAAGAGTGGCCTGTGTGAAGGCATGCGGGGTGGGTGGCGGGGGGGGGGGCGGTGCTCAGAGGTCCCACCTTGGCCCTGCCGCTGCCCACGTGTTCCATGCTCTCCACGCTCGCCAGGCAGTTGTGTGGCACCTTCTGGCATGCGGTGCGCACGTAATCCCAGAAGCAGCGCGGCATCTCGTAGCCGAACCAGCTCAGCTGCCCTGCAATGAGAGCCCGGACCCCGCACGCTCAGCCGTCGAACCACGGAACTCGGCTGAGAGAGAGAGAGAGCCGGGGGTGTGGGGGGGGGGGGTGATTCCCACAAATGCCACACGAACCACAAAAGCAAAAATCATGGCCCCGTGGCCTCGTCGTAAGAGCGTGTGCTACATGGCACATATTCTTAGGTTTTTTCGGTAAAGTCACGTAGGTAAAAAATTAAAATTAATAAAAGTAAAATAAAATAAAAATCACGACGTTTTGGAGGCAATACAAGCTTCCGTCTTCAGGTGGAACCGTCACAGCACGCTTGCTGTATCAAGTAAATGAGAGATTCCAAGAGATACTACCCTGTATATATACAGTATATGAAGACAGAAGCTTGTGTTGCCTCCGAAACGTCGTGATTTTTATTTTATTTTAATTTACTTTTATTAATTTAATTTTTTACCTACGTGACTTTACCGAAAAAAACCTAAGAATATGAATCCTTGCAGTCACGAAAGCTTCAAATCTAGAATACACGGCACATCTTGCTACCGCGGCGAGATGTGAAACTACCTCGCCTGCGATGAGATATTAGTGGAAGACACCTTACAAATACATGTGTAGTATAGCTCTCAGAGACGGCGGCTTGTCTTCTGTATATTTATTAAGAATAGAGTCTAATGACTACTCAACACATAACCGCGAGCGAATCTGTACACTTGGCTAGTGACGCAACTCTATTCTGAGACATCGCTTCCAATCTCAGGACAACTCTCAGACGATGGAGACGACCCGATCCAAGGAGGCGACGGTAGCAGTTCCCACAACCAAGCAGCCCCAAGCCTCCGCTCGCGCTGGCTTTTATCCTCGCCCGGTCCGGCCACCCCACTTATTCCCGAATTCTCATCACCGCACCTGGCCCTGCCGATCACCGCCCTTATTACACCTTCCACATCATTGGAGCCCGTGCTCCCCCTCACGTGACCCTGTCAATGCTTGTCTCATTAATTATCATCAGCTCGTCCATTAGTAACCATGGTTCCAGGGAACCAGACTGTCCCGCTATCAATCCGCAATGTCTTTACACAAGTAGATCATACTGGTGGGAACCTCCTGGTTACACCAGCTCACAGGGGATTATTGTGTCCGTCCGTCCGTCGTGTAGGGAGGGGCTGGGTGGGGAGGGGCTGGGTGGCGAGGGGAGGGTGGGGAGGGGCTGGGTGGGGAGGGTGGGGCTGGGTGGGGGGTGGGAGGGGTGGGGCTGGGTGGGGAGGGGCTGGTCACCCCGTGGTGCCCTTATAAAACTCAACGTTTAACCGACTCACGCCGGCTTGTGCCCGCCCTCACAGTCGGCCATATTTGCGGAATACACCACGCCGCCGTTGACCCTGGCCATTGACTGAGCAACACAACGTACCTACCAGCTCCCTCCGCAGGAATGTGTTACACAGGAGATGGTGGGTTAGATCTGGACACTGACGCCTGCTGTAAATTTAGTGTCTGTGTGTCTCTCTCCCCGTGGTCGCGTGGTTTTTTTTCCGGGTCCTCTGGTTTGTCCCTCCACATTTAGAATCAACGTGCGTTTTGGGTATTTTGCTGCTAGAAATTTCCACGTAATAAGCCACTTTGTTGAGCTATAATTTGTGGCCAGGTCACTTCTGAAAAATAGCTACATAGAAAGAACCAAGAAGATGAATCCCTGCAGTCACGAAAGCTTTAAATAGAAAAATAGCTACATAGTTCAGTGGGTCTTATCTGGTAAAATAAAAAAATACATCGTTTATTTTACATCATATTTGTACACGATTACAGCATAACGTCGCTGATCCAATTCACTGAGGACTAAGGTATCGGTGGATACGTGAAAAGGTCGGATTTGTGGACATCTATAGAAGACGACAGCCACACCACAGCGCAGAAATACAACACTGGGTGTGGGCGGTCGATCGGTCAGGGTGGAAATGTGGCAGGCGGATATTTTGTGATGAAGGAATGTACCTATTTTGTGATGTGGGAATCTTCCAGCATTGCATATTAAACCACTCTGTTGCACGATTGTAAATTAGAGTGGGGACACGTAAAAGGTGCAGCCCCTGCAATTTCTTGATCACGCCACTGCTGTCGGAGGGAGCTCTGAGCCCCTCCAGAGGGCCTTGGTTCCTGCTCTTCACAATGGGCAGTCACCTTGGGAGTGGTGCTGTTACCCACATTTAACCCACCCCACGCGACTTTCGAAATCGACTAACTGTGGTGGTACCCATTTATACTGCTGGGGGGGGGGACAAAGGTAGGGAGTTCACAAACCTGGCCATTGTTTCAACTGTCGTGCTGGGATATTGATCTGGAGAGCTATGGATTCATCTGGAGACATTTAGAAACGTTAGAGTATTTGGCTGCTATAAATTTCCACGTGATAATCCACTTTGTTGAGCTATCATTTGTGGCCAGGTCGCTTTGTAAATAAGAGCTACAACAGTCAGTGGCTCTTACCTGGTAAAATAATAAAAGGAAACATAGTTTAGTCCAGTGTGCCAACGATTATACCACAGCAACGAGTGTAATGGATCTTACAGTTTTATGCACGTGAATTAATTCAATGAGACCTGCACAGTTCATTATAAACACTAAACAGCGAGTGCAGTATGCACGTTAAATTTGTCAGCAGATTTGTGAGTGCTGACCAACGTTCGCTGAAGTGCAGGCGGCAATCAGGAAAAACCGAAATCATTTTCATTTGACACCAACCACGAATAGAGCAAGTCTATACACCATCATCTTAGTTCACAGTGTCGGCACACGTTCAACAAAGAGTAACTGTAATTTACAAAAAGAAAAGATTGTTGACTCAGGGTCACAAACGTTACCGGGGATAGCGATGGAATTGGTTGAAGACAAATGTTCAGGCTATTTACCCAGGATATAGTTGCGTTGCCAATTTTTTAGGCAAAAGAGAAAAATGCAAACGGTCCTGATGATGGCTTTGAACCGTTCAGCTAGCAAGAGTTAATGCACGGTGATTCCATGCATGCACTGCTTGACTTGATAATATGTTCAGTTTCCGATTGGTCACTCACTACGTTATTCTTCAATGTTGAGAGGGAGGGGGGAGAGGGCTCTTCTGAATAAAATCTATTTTATTTTACACGGGAAATGAGAACGGGAAAACCGGCATATCAACGTTTTCTGACTATTTTTAAACTCCACTATATTCTCTGCCCTAGGCAACTGCCAATGTTACCTCCTTCTAATACGATGACACCACCACTGTCTCAGAGATCCAAGGAAACATCAAAAGCTACTAATTCGCACATATAACATTCATCATCAGCCATGATCAATCCACTATTGAATGAAAGCCTTCTCAAGCCACCATATTTCACCGTCCTGCGATGTAACACTCCATCTAGCACTTACGCAGAAGCCTCTTTCATTGCTCCATTTCACGATGAACGTACTAAATTTCGATTTAAAGCTTTCGTGACTGCAGGGATTCATCTTCTTGGTTCTTTAGGTAAAGTCACGTAGAAGGGAAATAATAAAATAATACAAATAAAATATAATAAAATACAATTCTCACGACGTTTTGGCCACAACGCAAGCAGCCGTCCTCAGGTGAAGAACAGGTCTGTCGGAAAGACAGCGTCTGAATGAACCAACCGACATCCCTATTCTTCACCTGAGGACGGCTGCTTGCGTTGTGGCCGAAACGTCGTGAGAATTGTATTTTATTATGTTTTATTTTTATTATTGTATTATTTCCCTTCTACGTGACTTTACCAAAAGAACCAAGAAGATGAACATACTATTCGGTGTATTCCCTCCTTTAACTGCTACTCATTAATTAGTCCCAACCACCGACCATCACTGCTTCTGGGTGACCTGCCCAAGCTCACTTACTTTTCTTAACATTCATTGTGATGTCTATAACAGTCATTGTGATATCACCAACTTTCACGTGTTCTCAAAGGCACGTGGTTTCCTTTCTGTCTCTCAAGTGCAATTCCAAGGATGCATATCTTTTTAAATCCTTTATATTAAGTTCACTTGCTTGCGCGCTTGCTTGCTTGCGCGCTTACGACCGTGCAAATCTTTCGGTCGTTTTTAACCCACTTCCCGTGATCCAATCGAGCTGACATTTTGCACACAGACTCGTTGTGCGTGACAATTCATTTTCGTGAAATTTTCTTTTCCAAAATTTTACACTTTTTAGGTAAAAAAAAATTATATTTAATTACCAATTGCTTAATGGTGTCAGGCAATCATCTGACCCATAGGTGGCAGCCATCTCAAGCCAGAGGACGAGAGGACTCTAGCCGCTCGTTTCAAAGACCAATGTGGGCTGGGTTGTGGCCCATTGAACACGCATATAAAGGATTTATAGTGAAAAACTTTGTTTTTACGGGTTAATTTTTTCACGCTTCTTTTGCACAATTCCAACTTTTGTCTCATTTTATGTAGCTTTTTTTCACATCTCTCTTTCATGTCACAGTAGGTGAACTAATTTCAAAGTTAGTTTGGCCAGAATGAATGCACATCTGGCAAACCAAAGCTCTGCGAAATGACTCGTGCCTCGCACACTTTCGTGCCAAAATCAGTGGCGACTGGAGAAAAGGCAAAGGGGTGAGCAAGGGGAGCATGCGTGAGGGTTGCTGGAAGGTAGAAGAAGAACCTTGGAAGGGTTCAACAAGAGCCGAGATGGACAAGAGTAAGCCACTTCGGAAGAAATGAGGCTGATGAGTTCTAACACTGTCACTGGTTTTGCTTGTGCATTACACACGGGATGTTTAACCCGTAGGCTTTCGCGACCATTATTATCCATAAGAGGTTTTTTTGAGTTAGGTCACGAAAATAAAAAATGTGTCGTTAAACCTGCCACCGTCCAACCCAAATCAATTACTAAGGTTTGCCACGTAAACAATTTGCATCTTTTGTTTACGTGACAAACCTTACTAATTGGCTGTGTCGGATGGTGGCGGGTTTAACGACACATTTATATTTTCGCGATCTAACCCAA